TTTTAACATGAAACATTTTACCGTGTTCTTACTGGTTTAAAAAAAATGGTCCATCTATTTTGAAGAGGAAGAGACCTCTGGATAATCATGCTCCCAGTAAAATCCTCGAAACTGTCTGGTTCTTAAGTTAGAGAAAAAAAGTGTGCAGATGTTAGTAGGTGCTAGGGTAACGGCCCTCTCATGCCAAACAGCATTGGGAAACACTGGTCTGTAAAGTGAAACTGCTTTATTCTGTGATTTTTACTGGTTTATATCACCGTGTCTGTTTGTTTTGAAGACGAGGAGACCAGCAGATAATTCAGCTCCTGGTTAAGCCTCCTGAACAATGAACACTGGGGGAATTCTAATCGGGAGACGTTTCAGTTGCATGCAATCTGCAATGCTCACAGCTGGACGCCACTAAATCCCGCTAAATCCTACACTGTTCCTTTAAGATAATTTGGAAGTGAACAAGTAATTCCCCTTGTGTAACATAACATGTACAAATCTTGAATTATTTTATGTCACTGTGTGGTCACTGTGGTCTATGAAAGGAACTTACTCTAAATTTAATTTCTCCTCCTTGAAGGTGTGATCCATCCACCTAATGCCCTTCTAGCAAACTGTAATGATTTTCTGCAGACCCAAACTGTAACTTTAACTGGGTGGCCAGTTTGTCTCCTTTAATATCAGAAGTGTCCCTGTGAGTTTGACATCATGCAACAGATGACCCACAGCTGACAAACTGCACCTGGCAGAGAGGAAAGAGACCCATGCCAGATATGATATTCTTTTACCCTGAGTAAGGCTCCCTCTTGCTTAGCACTCTTCCTTTTTCAAAAAGGGTAAATTAGCTAACAGCATTGTAAAAGGAGTCCAAACTAAGAAAACTGTCTCTCGTCACTTGAATTGTAGGGTACAGTCAGGTAACTTGGGACCCCAGGTAAAGCGGGACGAAAAATGTTTCACATCTTGGGCTCGTAACTACTAGGAGTCAATCACCAAACATGTTACTGCATTGTTACTACAAATGTGCTCTACATGAAACAATAATTTTGACTGGTCTGAGGTAACTAGGATGGGCAGAGCAAAGAGTCAAAAAATCACTGGTCCCAGAACTTGCCAGGGAAGCCATGTCACATGTTGATTTTCTCATTTTGGTTATTAGAGTGTTCTAGCTAACACAATAAACAACAGAAATGGTTGTAGGATGTTACATTTTATTAACTGTTTGACTTTTAATCAAAAATATTTTCACAATACACTTTAGTTTTTATGGGGAAAAAGTTTTGAATGAGTACTCATTACATTCAGGGACAAAAAAACAAGCTAAAATGGGACATTTTATTCTGAAGTGAAACCAGCATGTTGTTAGGCTGCCAGGTGCCATAAAACCATGACTTATGCTACCATGTAGTCTCGCCACCAGACAATCAGAGATCTCCGCCTTCTGATAGTCTGGGGACACCCCTTTCTAAATTGTGTTTAACACACCGGAGAAAACGGCCGGCAACAAAGCAACACCTCTTGCATTTTTTTTTAAAAGGACACGCCCTCCCGGAAATGTGTGCTCCCCTTTTCTCGTCTGCAAGGAAACAAACACACAGAGAGCTTGAAAATGGATGCTGAGAGATTTAACTCCGTTTTATCAAACGTGTGCTCAGTCCACAAGATTGTGGAAATGAAGGACTTACAGCGACTTGAGCCATTTTGTACCGTTACACGTGTTTCTAGTCTCATCTAGTCAGTTTACGAGCACAAGAGTTCAGCTAGCCACCGAAGGACTGCCCTGCAGATTTACTATTGGTTCTGCAACGTAGGGAGTTTTTGGAAACTCTGAAATTGTATCCACCCATCTAAACACAAAATCAGGGAGAAAGACATCAGTCTTTAGTTAAGTAAAGCATCTAAAGACTGACTTGTGAGTCTAACTTCCGTATGTCACACTGTTACAAACTATTACAGACATTTTTAGTATTTGTGTAATTAAAAAAATATCAAAAACAATGCAGAGAGTCCATGTCAGCCAGTCAAGAATTAGTCATCCCTGTTACACGCACACACACATGTCCATATTAGACAACGTGGCACCAAGGAAACAGGCAGCAAAAGAACAAGGAAAGCATTTTTAATTAACAGTCAGGTTATATTAATGATTTAACAAATTTAAGAAGAACTATGCCCATTTTCTAAATTCATAAACGATATACCTCTGATCTAAGACAGTCAAAAATTATTAGTAACATGAACAACTATTTTCGAAATCCAAAACTGGAGTGCTAAAACTGTAATTTGTGATGTCACAGGTTATTAAGTCTGGAGCTGCTCCATGGACAATAACTTGGGAAAGATGTTCTAGATGACACTATGAGCACCCAGAGTAATTTTGTGACACGCTGATGGCGTGTTATCTGTGCAACCCTACATCGGGAGATTTATAAAGTAGCTGACAGCGCTTAGCAGCCAACTTAAAGAAGAAGAACCGCAGCCAAAAATGTCTGCAATTGGGAAAACAATGAGGTCCGGGAGCTCCTTAGAGGCCAATCACACCTCCAAGTGGCGCTAGAAACGCGGACACTTCACAGACGCTTGAAATGCCTGAAACGCCCTTTCAATGAGCGCTCCTTACGAGGAGCGCCCGTAGAGCTGGGGTGCGTGAACAACCAGGCGATCAAAACATTGAAAATGGACCCAAGACAGAGGAGGGCATTTGCTGTTGCCGCTTCACTTGGCTGCTCACACAGCTCCAAGCGTGTGCTCTCCAGTGCTTATTGCTATACTGAGGTATTGAGGGATTGTATAGCTCCTCGTAATTACAAACAGTCAGGATGAACCGTTCGTCATCGCGCTGCATTGCCATTGTGTTTACACAATTTACCTCAGCTACTCTCAACATCAAAACATGAATGAAGTTGACGTGATGGCAAAGCTCGCCTCTTGCTTGATTCCATGGATTTGAATGGCTGCCTGGGCCAAGTACGACGATGACGAAATGGTGCTACTGGCGCCTGACGCCCAAAAGTTGAGATTATTTCAACTTTCAGCATCTACAAACGCGCGTCTAAAAAGACGCCAGAAAGACGCTTGTCATAAAAAATGCTTGAAAACCAGTCAGACGCGCCTTATCATAGAGAATCAATTGTTTTACTGGCATATCGTTTCTAGCGCTCCTTGTAGGTGTGATTGCCCCCTTACCCTCCAAGCAGCGGACAAGATCAACTGCCATGTACTGTAAAAGAGATGGTAAATCATTGTTACTGCAATGTTAATGCCATTGTTATTCTTTATAAAGCCCTGTGAACGTGTTTCTTACTCTGGAGGCTGATGCTGTAGTATTTTCATGTCACGCCCTTAATGCCTCTTTTGATTCCATTATGGTGGAATGCTGTCTAAAAATCACACACTGAAGCGGAATAATGCGCTGTTGTTTGGTTCTGTGTACAAATGCAAAGGCAGCATAAAGAGGGGACTACATAGCAGCCTTATAGCGCGATCTATGTGAAAAAAGGACTTCTGTCTATGGAGCCGCTTTAGACTTTATACCTTACAACATCACAAGTTTGAGACTTCCTTCTCTTCTTTTTTTCTGGTTTCTCGGAGAAAGTAGTTCATGTTCACAAATATTGACTGAGCTTTCCTCCAGGGCAACTACAGGTCCTTCAAAAGTCTTAAATTAAGTTTTCCTAATATAAAGCCTTAAAAAATCTTAAATTGTCTTAAATTAAGATTCGATGGGTCTTAAATATTTTAGGTCACATTACCGCAAACATTTCTCCAGCCTGACAGACCCAATGACTGTTTACAATCATTGGGCAGAATAAAGAATTGCGATGATAAATAGCATTTAGGACAGCGATGAGTTTTTGTTATCTTTTAACATTAAACTTAAACTCACCCAATTGTTGTCATTTTTCCTTACTAGTACTTACTGTACTTTGAACTGACATCGGTGTGTTTACTTGAAAAGAGTACTTACACGCGTGTTGCGCGCGCTCGCCACACACACACACACACACACACACACACACACACACACATGCACACATATAATGTATATTTCCATTGCAGGCTTGGTCTAAATTTTCAGGTAAAGTGATATTGGTTATATCTGTACACACCCTGTCCTCGGCCATGGAAATAACATATTGGAATTCTTAATTTAAGGACCGTTCCCCTTTAATGTCTGAACTTATAAATTGATTTAACAGATTTAAAAAAAAAAAAAAAAAAAAAAAAAAACATGAATGTCTCATCTTTTCGGCTGTCCCGTTTTTACCTGACCATGTCATCAGAGTGAGATAGGGGTTCTTAATATGTTCGAACGTCCAAAGTTATATATAGTTATATATAGTTATAAATATATTTCCTTTGTATGAATACAGCAGAGATACATTGCAAGTCCTAGAGGCAATACTTGAGGTAGTCCTCAGAATTTTAAGGGAGTAATTTTATTTAGTTATCAACCAAAAAGTGTCACACGTTACCTGACTTCACCCCACAAGCAGTAAGCTAGCAACTGTTAAACGGTAGTACACCTTTAATATGCGGACTTCACTGGATTGCAATGGCGTGTGTTGTAGTGTGGTACAAAAGCTGTTTTGTGTTGACTATAACTTGAATGTATTCTTCTGTTATAACCTTTATTTGAGAAACTCTGTGCACGTGATAGCTGATGCAAAGACTGTACGAGTGCGCTCGAGGCAAAACGACGTACAGCAAAGAGCGCAGAGGAGCCATACTGCTGTGTGTCCTTCCCTTCTGCGAGCTTTCCTACCTTTTCTGGCGTAGCGAGGGTCAAATCTAGCTTCCTTCGCCCCGGTCCCGCCGCCGACGCCAAACATCCTGGGCAGGACGACGAACGTGAAGAGCACAGCCGTGAATGCCAGGGCGACTTGTTGTGATGTTGACAAAACCATCTTCTCGTGGGCACACAAACGGCACGAGACACCCGCAGAAAAGAAGCGACGCCTGCCGCTAAAAGATGTGGCTAAAGAGGCGAGGGCAGGGAGGAGAAGTGACGCTGTCCGGCTAACATATAACGAGGAGAAGCGATATTTGAGACCTAAATCTAGGCTGCTCTGCTGAAACAGCTGTGCTCTGATCCGCTGTAATAACAGCACCAGGATATCCGGACGGGGGTTTTCAGAATAAAAGCTTCAACTGAAAAAAATCTAGTGAAATAATACTGCCTGTGACTGGATCGTTTTTTGTTTTTTTGAAGCAGCTTATTAACCTGGCTTTTGTAATAATTACATAAAATAAGAAAAAAAAACTAGAGGCAGTCTATTTCAAAGGTGCAGTGTGAGGCATTTAGGGGAATACTGGCAGAAATTAAATTTAAAATAATGTTTTTTTTTTGTGTTTAATTACTTGAAAAAAAAGAATTGTTGTGCTTCCCTTCCTCAGAATAAGCTGTTTGTATCTACATAGACAGATACACTTATATCAGCATAGGGAGTGGGACATTCACAGAGATCACCGTGGCTGCATTCAGCCCCAACACAACATTTATTTAAACTAAGCAGCAACCTGCAAGGCTGAAAAATAAAGACGATGCAGAAATGCCAAAAAGTGCAGTTCATCGAAAAAGCCACTTGAAGCTGGCTCCAAAACAGAGTGAATCTCTATAAACCCCCATGTTAAAATGGCCAACTTTACAGTGGAAATAAACATGCAACACTTTCGATTTACTGGTCCATCTTCAGCCCTTTTTAAATAGGAACTGTGCAAATTTGCAGGAAATCCTAATCAGTTTTCGTTCAGCATTTGCAGTCTAAAACGCAGGTGACAAAACGTGTGTAAGGAGTTCAGACATCCAAAGGGAGCTCGCAGTAGAGTCACCGCTCCTCCACGTCAGAGGGGCATGTTGAGGTAGTCCTGGGTGCCTCTTGTTAGGAGTGTTCCGCTGGTGGGAGGCCCCAGGGTAGACCCAAAACACGCTAGATTGATTATATATCTCATTTGGCCTGGAAACGCCACAGGATCCCCCAGAAGGAGCTGGAAAGCGTTGCTGGGGAGAGGGGCATCTGAAGTGCTTTGCTCAGCCTGCTGCTCCCACAACCTGGTCCCAGATAAGCAGTTGAAAATGGATAGATGGATGGATGTTTACAGCCCAGAACGGTGTCTATAGCTAATTTCAACATTCATGACAACTATATAACACACCCGTTTACATTTTATCAAGGCTTAAAGTTATAGGCTACTAAAGGGCATGGCCACTTGGATGGCAGGCTGTCTGCTGATAGTGCCCACAGCGCCAGCCTCTCGTCCAAACATGGTCACTTCTGGCTCCACAAAACCAAGATGGCGACAGACCAAATGTCAAACTCGTGGCTTCACAAACAATGGGTGACGTTATGGTAGCTACGTCCATCATTTATACAGTCTATGATTTAAACAAAAACGGCAATGCGTTGAACACCCTGATGTGTTATGCAGGTTCACTGCATTTCAATATGGTGGGAATTTAAAAGGGGCTTTATTGGCATGGGAAACATACCTTTACATTGTCAAAGCAAATGTAAAATAAAAACAAAAATTGTACAAACAATAAGTAACAATCTCCCAGAATTTTGTTTATGTAGGCTACATGTAGCTGCTGGCTGGTTACACCTCAGACACACCCACTAAACGAGAGAAAACATACCTTAAAGCCGTTGCCATTTCAAGGAAACACGTTATTCAACTGGGAAACCTTAGTAAATGGTGTGCAAATTTGCGAATCCTAGGATAGCGAAGGAATAATCTGCCCTACTCTCCCTCTGATTGGCAAGTACTCATTGTCTTCATTGGTTGAATTGGTTAGGTTAAGGCAAGAGGGGTTTGGCTGGTTAAGGTTAGGGTAAGAGTGTCAGGGTAAGCCAATCAGAGGCACAATTAAGCGGTGGGCTGTTCCTTCACCTTCCTAGGATTCACAAATTCGCTAACAGTGTGCACCATTTTCAGAGTGAATGCACCCCTTGTTGCATTGTTTGCACCCCTCGAATGGACCAATCAAACACTGGCTCTAGATAGGAACATTGGCATTTTTGTGTCTGCCAATGTGGTTAGAAGCCCCTCTGCGACAAGCAACATGGGAAATACAGCATGAAACTGCTTTTCTGTGTTTTTACTGTTTAATTACCAATTCTGTTTGATTTAGAGAGGAGGAAACCTCAGTGGATAATTCAGCTCCCAGCAAAAACCTTTGAGCGTCTGGATCAGAAAAAAGGTAAGTCGGAGAAAGACTGATTTGTAGCGTTAACTGCATTATTCAGTGTTTTTACCAGTTTTTGTCACCAGGTCTGTTTGTTCCGTAGTGGAAGAGACCTCTGCAGACAATTCTTCTCCCAGTAAAAACCTCCTCAATAATAAAAACTGAAGGAATTCTAACCGGGAGAAGTTTCTGCTGTTTGCTCTCTGCAAGATGCCACTAAAGCCCCCTAAATCTTACACACTGCTCCTTTAATCCAATGAAATAACAATTTACAGGAAACAATGGGTGTGCAAGAACTGTGTGAGAGCTTGTTTCAAGTCTAGTATTCTGTATTGCTTTCCAGAGGGCGGTGGAACAAACATGCAGTTGCTGGAATAATTTGGTCTCTTGAGGGTTTTCCGGATGCAGTGGGTTCTGTTAATGTCGTCTAATGTTTGAAGTTGTGGTTGAGTGGTTATGATCATGCTGGTGCAATATGAGCAGCATGTTGTTTTTAAATATTTCAATATTCAGTGGCACACCAGTAAAAGCTGACAGATAGCTGTCGGGAAGGAATGCTTCGTGTTTGTTGTAGAACAAGATGTGTTAATATAGAGGGTTACAGAGTATACCCACCTCTTTTTGTGGATGTTTACAGTATGCCTACCTATCAGCCAAAAAAACATTGGAAGATATAGTTTACCCACTTCCTCCTTGGTAACAATCTACCTATTATCCATCTCATCAGCTACCACCACATCTCTGGCTAGGTTGCTAGCAGTACACCAAGTTAAGTTGATCAGTTTCTCTGTGGGTTGCTGACTCACTGTCAGTAGAAATCAACCCTATTCTGGTTGTATCATCGGCAAACATATTGGGAAATACGCTTACTTCTTTACTTACAGAGAGTTAGACGAAAACATTGAGTGTGACGATGACAAGTTTTGGTTTTGTGGGTTGTGTCTTGCCTGGGAGCAGTGACTTCTGGGAGTCTTGTCCTGACTGTCTGTTTGCCACTCCAGTTTACGTAGCAACCATTCTGCCCCCATAATCTGTGATGGTCTTGCCACAGGGGACAGGTCTCTGTGTTGGAGTGTCCCTCTATCTGCTATCTGTGGCAGCACCTAACCTGTCTATACCCTTGAGGTTTGCCTTGGCTAGGAATCAATATTTCTCCTAGGCCCTGACAAGTCCTGGACAGACATAAAACAAGCATTATGTGAAGAAATCCATATTTAACTCTTACTGTTCATAAGTCACTCCATTGCACACCATCAAATGTTTCAAAAACTAGTACTCAAGATCGGTCTTGGTCTCAAGACTGCTTTTTGAAAGTCTTGTATTGGACTATATAGCATTTTTACATGGCCTTGACTCAATCTTGGACAGATGAAGAGGACTCTGGGTTTTATTTCAAGACCACAACTGCAGGGATACCACTAAATTGCCTGTGCAGAACAAAGATTGGGTAAGCTCCTTAGTTACTAAATTTGTTTGCTCATAGAAAACAAAAGAGAATTCCCACACATAAAATTCATCTCTGCAATGCCTTTTGCCTACTCTGGTCTTGCTCATGACTTTGTCTTGGTTTAGATGGTCTTGACTACAACACTGTCAAAAACCTTACCATAGCCACGACTTTGACAGGCTGATGGAAATTTTACCAAATAACTAACACCACAGTCTCACCTACCAAACACACTTCCATCTCTGACAATCCCAACTTCTCAGTGAACAGACACACATAACATTTCATCCTTGATCAGTAAAGCTTTCACACAGCTCACATCACTCCCTCATCTGGTCCAGAAGTACAGTGTTGGGGAGAATCCCTTTTTAGAATTTCTCCTGATCAAATCCTCTATTCAGACCAAAATCAACATTAAATTTAACTTAGACATTCCCCAAATAACACTGGACCTGATTAACAAACCAAAAAAAAATACTATCCAAAATCTACAAGATAATTTCCAGGCCCCAAATAACAATTTCCATACCTTTGCTTTATCCACCAAAAATATATAACTCAATAATTCAATACCAGATCAATCATAGAGTACACCACATGGGGAACAGGATATTTAAAATAGGTTTACACTGAATTTTGCCTGCACACAAAACACCACAGACATGCCATATGGAACTGCACACCAATTAAGGCTTTCCAAAGATCACTTAACAATTCAAGTGTCGTCAAGACTGTAACATTCCTTGGATATTCTGGTGATGTCATCTGGATGTCTGGAAGCAGAAAATATTTAGTTCATTCCAAATAAATCAAATTTGGAAGAACAAAAGACATCACCTCCTCTGCAGCAAATTTTTCTTAGGGAAGACCTTCCAGACAGTTTTCAGAAGAAAAAAGAAGTACTAGACACACTACACTTCACTGCCATAATAACTTATGGAGAAAATAGAAATATCTTTCCTTGTCTAAAAGACCTTAAGACTGACTCAACATGAGACAAAATCTCCTTTTGCAGAATGATCACAAAGAAGTGGTGGTGAGGACTGGCACTCTGCAACAAAGTACAGCCAATGTATTCATCACTCATCAGCTGTGTATGTAATTCCTTTATATCCTAACAGTTTCTCACAAATGTGAAATAATCGCTTTTATAAAACTTACCGTATTCTCCACAGACAATCAAAGAGTTCATCCGTGTTGATGTGGAAGTTTACATTGTTTCTTGTGATGGTGAGTTTCATCAGTGTTTCTCAAAAGCACAACATCCCAGAATCTGTGATGTGAATACTGCCTTTAAAAACCCACTCCATGCTTCTCATATGTTGACAGTGTACATCCGGGAGAATCTACACAGCTGTATGTTCTTCGATGATGAGATGATAATCAAAAGTTTCATTCCCTTGATATAATTAGATGTAACATTAGATTTAAAATGCCCCAAATAAAGATAAATCAAAGAAATAAAGTGAAATAAATTAATAATACAGTATGTATTTCCTGTTTATGTATACATTTATCGTAATAACAAATCAAATCTCAACACAGAAAATAGTGTGACGAGATTCATTGTGTTTCAGTGTTGTCCAGCAGAGGGCAGCATAGGCCAATACTCTGGTTTAGTATTTTCAATCTTTCATAGAGAGAGTCACAGTTTTATCCTCTGGGGAGGGACCATGTTCAACAGTTTCATCGCTAACACCTGGTAAAATATTGACATGCAAGTGTACAAATTTCAGCCCTCAAAATGGCAGGGCAACAGGAAGGGTCATGAGGTCACTGAAACAATTACAGTTTATTAGAGGACATTAATAAATATTATTATTGCTTTTTAAAATGAATATCCAGAGCAGATTACTCTGCAGTTGCACAGTCACTGAGGAGATAAGTTGCTCAAGAACAAAGTGCAAACAGGCTGATGGCCTCATCCCTAGCATCCTTAAAGGTTGAGACAGTGATTCTGGAGACAGATTATTGATATTAACTCAACACCCCAACAAATACACCCCTCTCATCAGAACTCCTAGAGAAGCTTCATTTTACCGTCACTCCCACTGCCTTTCTCTTGATATTGTCCTGTGCAAGAGCACAGCATGATAGTGTTGTGAAGCTTGGTCCAAGATTGTTTCCCATATCGGAGCCAGGATTGTGTATAAATGCCGGATTCAGCGCACACACAGAACAGACAGCTAGTGGACTGTGTGGAGATAATTGCTGAATTTGACAAACCGTGTATTACTGTAAAATTTTAATGAAAAGCCTAGTCCCAATTAAATGCCTAATCCCTTTTACTAGCTTGGTGTTTACACATTTTGACAAATAAACACTTGTTTCAATTAGACACCTGGGGCCTGTTTCACAAAACCAGGATAAGGGATTAAGCCGGGATATCTTGGTTATCCTGGATCAACTTATCCTTGATCCAGTTTCACAAAAGCAGGATAGGGGGAAGTGGGATATGTTTTGACATAAGTTACCATGGAGATTTATTCTGTGGAGCTAGCCTGCTCCAGACCAGGCTAAATTCCAGGATTTATTTAATCTCATCCCTTATCTCAGTTAGCAGCTACCACAAATGGAAACTAATATTTATTCCACTTCACACTACACATTCTTATCACATTCAACGAGACCCACTGTCATTATTTAAACATTTGTGATCATTAATTGCAGTCATTTTAGATAAATGATTTTAGTAGAAAATTTAGTTAGACTATCTCTCTCATATATATATATATATATATATATATACACTGTAAATAAATGATTAAAAAAATACACACCATACAGTAACATGATGACATGATGTTCCTTTATTGAATAGGATAAATCAAAGCAAGTAATCCATCAGTTCCTTTCAAAAGTGACGTCACACAGTGCTCTACAAGATAGAAAGCACTGAATCAAAGCATATTATTCATCACAAGAATAAATACACATTCTCAAAGGTCTGTATATAAAACACCCTGCATGTCTGCACACTGGAATAAATGCAGGACAAATCCATACTTAACAAATGAACAAATGTCAGGCCTGTATACGCACAGTACACAGCACAATAAGCCAAATTAATATAAAATAACACAAATTCCTCTGCTATTGCAGGCCATATTCAACTTAAATGTGCAGAATGCATTTTAACTGAAATAATTCAAAACGTATTGGTCCCTGATCAGCCGACCACTGTCGTCATCCGGGAAGATGGCCGGATTGTCCCGGTCCACATCTGATGGCACTCTGGGGGCCCTCTCCTTCCTCAGGCAGGCCACATTGTGGAGGACAGCACAGGCCACAGTAATATCGCATGCTCTGTCTCAGATGGTGCAGACACTGGAAGCGTGCCTTCAGGAGGCCAAAGGTCATCTCGATCCGAGCCCTTGTCCTGGCATTGGCATCGTTATATGCCCGCTGTGCTTCCTGAGGGTCTGCGTAGGGTGTGAGGCAAAAAGGCTCGCAGGCATAGCCTCTGTCCCCCAGCAGCACACCAGAGAATTCACCTGTGAATACAAAATGTCATCATCACAGCCTTATCAATAGAGGGACATTCTTGACATAGCCTTGATTTTAAAAGTGGTTATTAATTGAGGTCATGTGGCTCACCTTGTGACAGGCGCCGATAGACTGCAGAGGACCGAAAGATTCGTGAGTCATGGACTGAGCCAGGCCACTTTGCCACAACATTGCTGATCAGGTAGTCAGCATTGCAGACCATCTGAAATTATAAGATGTAGACTATTAAACCATTCAATGCACATCACGAGCAATGTACAATGTTCATTAATGTCATAAAGTCATGTTCACCTGAACATTAATGCTGTGAAAGGATTTCCTGTTCACAAAATCTCCCTTATGGGCACCTGAGGGGGATTTTATTCTGATATGGGTGCAGTCAAGTGCACCAATGACATTGGGGAAACCTGCAACACAAAGCAATAAGTATCCTACTATGACTTAACACTTGTCCTGTAATTTGTACTTACAGTACTCTTACCTGCAATCCTATAAAAATCCTCTTTGATGTCACTGAGTCTTCTGTGTCCAGGGAAGGAGATGAAGACACCTGATAGTGATTTGAGGGCTAGACAGACACTACGCACCACACGGCAAATTGTGGCCTTGGCCAGGTTTTCAGCATCCCCCACTGAGTACAGGAAGCCCCCACTTGCAAAGAAGCGCAAGGCCACACACACCATTTGCTCAACACTCAGCGCATGGCTCCGTGCTGTGTGGTGTTGGATCCTGGGACCCAGCAGTCTGCACAGATATCGGATGCCATCTGCAGAAAACCTATATCTTTCGTGTAGGTGGTCATCAGGGAAGGCCAATGGGTTCGCCCTGTCCCTGAAGACCCTCTCCCGCCTGAAGGCTCTCCTGAGCACAAGAGCTTCTCCATCCACAACCTCTTGCAGGAATGGACACGCCATTGTTTGAGCAGGAAGGAACACACCATTTTGGGCCTTCATATAGGCTATTGGATCGCTAGATTTAATGAGGAACACCTTTGCACTCTCACAAGCTACAAATGGTTATCTAATTATCAGGATACCTATTGCCTTAAAGAATAGATAATTGATTAAAATGCTCCCTGTTTGACCTTCACACTGCTCAACTTCTGCCATAAAGTGTTTTGATATCTGGGAAATAGCATTTCAGGTACATTATGTGCATTTCTTTTTGTCTTAATACAGCCAGTCTTTGGTGTGTGACTTCTAACCAATCAAAGCACTTGGGGCTACCATAGAGATGACACTAGGCATTATGTCAGACTGTGGAATACAATCTGCAATCCCACCTAACTGTGCACAAATTAAACAAGCAAACACCACAGAAGGTCTTTTGATCTTTTATTTAAGATTCTTCTTCTTGAAGCTGGGTGAGGAAAGGAGAATAATAATTAATAGATTGTCTGTGTTACAGTCAGCATACAGTGTACACTGAAGGTGAAACTCACCTCCCGCTCAAGTTTTTTTATTTCAAGGTTCAGTTTCCTCAGTTTCCTCCTTTTAATTTCGGACTCCACGGAGAGGTCTGCCATCTGTCTTCTTTTGTATTCAATGTCCATATCGGCCAGTTGTATTTGCCGTTTCAGATGTGTGGCATACAGCTGTCTGATAGCTTGTGAGTTCTGTAAACACATAATAATCAGCACAGCAGGAATTTTGCATGATGGGAATGTACTTCCATAAATACTCACTATGTTGCAAGGCTGGCTTTCATCCTGTAGAGCATCTGGGTCCTGTTACAGAAATGACATTTTGTGTGGGCTCCAGATGATGATGACTTCTCACCATTGTAGACTGAATGAGTACTTTCATTTGACATGATACCTCAAACCTTCTTGAATCAAGAGACACAGTCTCCTCATCGACTTCATCTGCTGCTCCTGCTGCTCCACTGGTGCCTTCACCCTATCACATTTAAAAGGGATTCATATTAAAGCAAGCAGATGAGACATGCCAGGCTACACAGTATGACTTTGATGGAGGACTCACTGGATCATCATCCTCTGGTATTGGTGACGCCACTGTTGGAGGCTCCAACAGTGAGATGGTGTTTCCAGATACTGCAAGGTAAAACAGAGTCAGATAGTCCAAATGGATTCAATATGAATGGTTGGTTATGTCCCATGTAAAGATGGAAGAATGTACCTTTAATGAAGAGGGAGGCATCTTCCTGGGAGGGATTTATATTTGAGTCTGTCCCCCCAGGGATCCCCTCTAACACAGGCCTGCCTCTGTTAAGTTCCAGGGCTCTGTCCTCTGCAGGGGTGAGGTCAGCTGGTGGTCACCCACCACCCGTGCCTTGCTTGTGGGTTTTTTTTTAACAGCTATAAGTACAGACAATATGTGAGTAGGCACCCTCTGGGTACAATGTACGCACGTGCATAGTATTTGTCAGGTCACTTACCATTCTGCAGGATGTTCTTATATTTGATCTTGACTTGTTGCCAAGTTCGTTTGGGCCCAGTCATGTTTAATCTAAGAATAATAAATTAATTAAGACAAAATAAATAACACACACACACACACATAGATAGTGAATGAAATAACTGAGGAGCAAATATGTAGTTGCATTTACATAATTTCACATCTACAGTCCATTTCACTCGCAGTTTCATAATCAGAGTATAACTACGTTTTTGGGAATGTTAATTAACTATTTGGATTGTAATTGTGATGGATTCAGCAGGGTAGTGAGTGTGTGTTTGTGCAATACATACGCATTCAGGCGGTCTGCAATACTTTGCCATGCTTTCTCTCTTTGTTTGATGGCGGTGGCAGTGTTTCCTTTCTTTTTAATTTGTTCTTTTACCTCTTCGTAGGCCTCCATAATTATGTCCTGCTCCGATGGGGAGAAGTATGCTGCACGTGATGCCATGGTGAATCAGTGAATCTGTGATCAATTACAGGGTCTATTTAAGGAGCCATGTGCTGCAACTTATCCAGGATTAGTTTCACCTGGCTTGATGAATCCGTGTCTACTTATCCTGGCTTGGCGTTTGTGGAACCAATTAAGCCTGAACTCTGTTGTTTTGGATTGGTTGAGCCAGGCTTACTTACTTATCCTGGATGTCTGAATCCTACTTTTGTGAAACGGACCCCAGTTTAGCTATTTATCACATTTTTCACGTCACTGCATCACCATGTAGACTAATCTGATGTTTGTAAAGTCTATAAACACAATGATTGAACAAACGTTACTATTTCTGTGTGCACGTTTTGTAATTAACATGTTTATCGTAGATTAGCTGGGCTAACCGTTAGCTGTTAACGTTAGCCGTTAGCGGTGTCTGTAATAACCATAGACTGTATAAAAATAAGGTAATAACTCAATAAACGGTCCAACGGTCTAACGGTGACTTAGTTACAACATGAGTGAGCTAGCAAAGCAGTTTTGTGTTGCTATGTGTGGTATTTATTCAGTTTTGGGAAATCACGATGTCTAGAAAGCATCAGTGGCTGCAGCTGACAGGGACAGCTAACAGCAGCAGCAAAGCTAACATCAGGACGTCATCTGTTAAAAGCCTCCCGTTGTCGGATACGACATGAAACTACTCCAGTTAGCTCAATCATGTTGTAACTCAGACATCCACTGGAAAAAAAAAAATCACGTTGACAAGACGGCATTACTGGAGCGGTTGCTATGGACGCGGAGCTTGCTGTTTCTGTTGGTACACATTTCCTGGGGACACCTGCACGTCTCTGCCACGCCCCCTCCATTGTGATTGGCTAACGCGCAGCATCGTTCAAACTCAAAGCCCTGCCTTACCCCCTTCTCTAGTCGTCTTTCACACAGGGCTGCCGACAGATTCTACAATGTAAACTGCAGAATCTGTCTTGAGAAATTAGAATGGAATGAATAATAATAGTGATATATAAGAGAAATATAATTATGTTTTTTATATATATGTATTATTTTAAAAAATGTGTATAATAATACTGTAATAAATAATTTATAATTGTTTGTAGAACTCAGATAAACTGTAATAAAATTTAATCATGTTATTTAATCTTTGCATAGTCCTGAGGATAACCAGCGGAGCCATGAGTTGTTGGAGTACATCTACAACCAATGCCAGCAACTATATGAGCAATTTGAAGCAAACCCTTCACAAATGGATTTGGAATTCCTCCACCGTCACTATGAGGAATTCTATGCCATTCTTCTGAGATGTGTGCACAACGGAATTTTTACAGACTTGGAGGCTGTTTTGCAAAGCATGCAGGAAGTGTTGCGCTTGTTAGAAGCCAAAAATCAGCCAACACATGGATTCAAGCCTGCCATCCTGAGGACTGGGGAGAGAGGACGCCCCTCTTGGGACATATCCGGTGAACAACTTCAGTACCTTCTAGAGTTCAACTTTACCGTCAGGGAAATTGCACGCTTATTTGGCGTCAGTTACAGAACAATCAGGAGAAGAATGACGGAGAATGGTTTGTCCGTCAGAATGCATTATAGTGACATTTCGGACGAGGATCTCAGAAGAGTGGTCACTGATTTCATCCAGCAGTTTCCTGATTCTGGAATAAAAAGTGTCAGTGGACATCTCAACAGTGTTGGAATAAGGTGAGCATTTATACAACACAAATAAATAAGTTATGTTTGTGTATGAGTTTATGACTGTGTATGAGTTAACTTTTCTTTTCCTCTCAAGGGTTCAAAGATCTCGAGTGATGGAAACTTTGAGACTTGTTGATCCTGTCGGCACAATTTGTCGTGGGCTTGGAATTAACATCATTCCGAGAAGAGTATACTCAGTACCAGCACCTATGGCTCTGTGGCACATTGACGGAAATCATAAGTTGATTCGGTCAGTCTTTCATAAAAAAAAAAAATGTTATAAGAGATGAGTATTTCCTTCTAAATAATAAGGAAGTATAACTGATTTTTTTCTGTTCTAGCTGGAGAATTGTGATCCATGGAGGAATCGATGGCTACAGCAGAAAAATTATGTACCTCACTGCAAGTGATAATAATAGAGCCTCCACTGTTCTCACGGCTTTTCTTGGAGCTGTCCATCAGTTTGGAATTCCAACGAGGGTCCGCAGCGATAAAGGAGGGGAGAATGTAGATGTGGCTCGCTTCATACTCGAGCATCCCCAACGAGGACCAGGTATATTAATACTGCTTTTGCTCTTTTAGAATTGAGTAATGTAGTCATTGAAAAACATTTTTCCAGGAGACATTTATACACTTGTGCTGATCTTTGTCTTATTTATAAGTAATGCTTTGTGCACTTCTAATGTAATTTCTCTTTTTTCTATCTCAGAAAGAAGAAGTTTCATAACGGGACGCAGCGTTCACAATCAAAGAATCGAGAGGCTGTGGAGAGATGTTTGGTGTTCTGTGACAGTGAACTACCATACAGCATTTCAGCATCTGTTTGCCACAGGTGCTTTACAAACTGACAATGAGCTTGACCTGATTTGTCTGCATTATGTGATGATTCCCCGAATAAACAGACATTTGCAGCTTTTCAAGCAAACATGGGACCGCCATTCCCTTTCCACGGAGCAAGGAAGGTCACCTCAGCAACTGTGGATTGCGGGGCAATTAATGGCCGAGAATCCCATTTCTGACCCCATCAATGAGCAGGTCTGTCTTGGAATTATCTTCACTTGAAGTAACACATTTTAAAGTGTATATATTGCCATCAACTCCATCATATACTGTATGCATGTGTTGCGATGCATCAATTATGAATTTACTGCACAACTTGCTCACTTACTTCCAGCAAGGAGGTTATGTTTCGGTTGCAGTTTGTTTGTTTGTCGTTCAGTCTGTCAAGTTTTTCAGGAAACTTGGTGGAGGGGTGTAGTATGGACCAATGCATAAACATTGTCCACAAATTGTTTTTAGGGCATTTTGCTTTGGTGGAGGTCTGCATTCTCTAAGTGCACTTTTCACTGAGATAGCTTTCCAAACATCTTTGTGACCACATTTTGCTTTCACATAGGGGGAAGACTATGGAATTGACTGGGAGGGACCAACACCAGTAGACCAAGAAGGGGCCGTCAACGTTCCCGAGACACCCGATGCTCTAAAGAACCTTGTTTATCAACACCTCCATGGAAGAATTGACCCCCTTAACAACAGCGTGTGTTTTGGGGTGGACATTCTTTTGGAGGCAGTACAACTTGCAAGGCAGAGGTTTAATGAACATTAAAACTAGGGCTGCCACTAACGATTATTTTCATTGTCGACTAATCTGTCGATTATTTCTTCAATTAGTAGACTAATCATTTAATAAAAAAATGTGTTAAAATGTTGAAAAATGTCGGTCTGTCTTGCCCAAACCCCAAAATTACGTCATCTAATGTCTTGTTTCATACTCACGCCAAAGGGTTTTAGTTCACCGTCACGGGAGAGTGTGTAAAGCTGCCAATATATGAATGTAAGAAGCTGCAATAATAGGATTTGGGGGTACTTATAGCACTTTTCTATGAAAAATGACTCAAACCGATTAGTCGACTACTAAAACAGTCACCGATTATTTTAATAGTTGATTAGTCATCGATTAGTCAACTAATCGTGGCAGCCCTAATTAAAACAATAACTACCCAAATACTATATTGTACATTTCTAGCTCACGCGTATTTTCCCGTATTGTTCTTCACTGATGTATATATGGCTGTAATTACATAATCTTACTGCTTGAGCTACCATTTCCCTATATTTTTGGTGGATTCCTGTTTGAATGTGGCTATATACTTAACAACTGTGTGCTGTACTGTGATAATTTGCTGCAATTCTTTTGCACAAACGAACGCGAATAATTACGTCCCATTTTGTTACACAATTCTTGCTTATGCCATATTTGAAATGCAGCACTTTGCTATTTTAGTTTGTGTCAGGCCTACCCCCTCTCCTACCTTGTGAGTCCAAATAGAATACTAATATTTAATTCCTTGTACTTATTTACATTGAAATAATTATGATGTATTACTAATCTATTTGTTTCTCACTCTGATATAAAACATAACCTCAGTCAAGGCTCACTACTGCTGTTTGTACTGTGGCAATAAATGTCTTGAATGGACAAAACAGTGGTGGTCTCACATTCTTACAGATGCACCCATAGTGATGTTAATATTTCTGCGAACCATTCAAACTACTGTCCTACAGCCCCACAGTCAAATTCTGAGGTAATAATTAAAACAATTACTCTGAAATTCAATTATCTTTTTTTGAAGCAGTAACACAAAAAGGAGACAAAGTTGAACACATTATTTGATTGAAATTGAATTATATAGTACTATATAA